CAACATGTGGGTGACAGAACCGCCAAACTAGAAGAAAGGGCAGACAAAATAACAGATGCCCACAATACTCTGTCAGAAGCCTATACAGAGCTAGAAAACAAGCTCAAGAGGTTTGAAGACAAAATGGCCGACCAAGAAGATAGGAAAAGGCACAATAATATCAGGCTAAGGGGGATACAGGAATCTGTCACATCTCAAGAGGAAATATTCAAGGCATATGTACCAGAGTTGGCAGAACTTGATCGGACCCACAGATTGCCCAAGCCAAAACATCTGGGCCAACTAACTCCCAGGGATGTCAACACCAAGCTACACTATTTCATGACTAAAGACAGAGTCATGCAAGCGGCACAAAGGAATTCTCCCCCACCTGGGCGCTTTAAACAAATAAAGCCATTCATAGATCTATCTGCATCAACTATGATGAAGAGGAAAGCCTTTTTCCTCATCACGGCAGCACTACGAGAAGCGAATGTCCCGTATAAGGGGGCTTCCCAAGCAGACTTTTAGTCAAACAGAGTGGGGCAGACTCCAGCATCATGTCTCCAGAAGACGGAAAGAAGATGTTACAAGACTAGGACATTCCTTTCACTAAAAAGACAACATCCATACCACACTCTAAAGCATCGCCAGTGAAACTAAATAGAGACTGATCTAAGGTGCATGTCCGCTCACACAAATCTCCTTGAACGCTGCGGACGGGTAATAAGTATACAAATGTGCAATGTTTAATATGTGTTCTACAAGCTAATTTGTTCCATGTTAGAAAGAAGATTATCAATCTTTGCCTTACTTAGATAATAGCAGATGTAACACCGTGTGGACACCTAATACAATACGGATCTATCACTGTACGTAGACCTAGAGAATCAGACACTGGTCTCCCACCCCCCTAGGTGGCTTAAGTATGAGCCACAAATGTAACTGTTTTTCAAATTTCGGTCAACTTCGTTCGTCCAATGGTTTTATGTACATAGTTTGCATGTTTTTTCTTATGCTTATCTTTTCTCCTTTATTTTAGTTTTTTAACAGCTACGCCTATATGATGTCCATAAGGCTTATGCTAGCAATTCCAGAGATACATGGGTCACCTCCCCACTCCGTTAATCAATATACCCTGGGTGTTAGACAGATTTGCAGTTCAAGACCTAGGTCGGATACTAAAACACTGCTGTTGGCCCTTGGGCCCTCTTAAGGTACTCACAGACTATGGGGTGACCTAGGGACACAAGGGTGGATGGCTTACCGACCTTATCCCTCCCTCCTGTGATACGAGATCAATAACCATAAACCATGGTGCTTAATATTTGTTCTTTAAATACCAAGGGGCTTAACTCTCCACACAAGAGGCGCCCGGCGTTAAAAGAGGTCAAATCCCTAGATGCTCATGTGGCACGCATCCGCCTGTCGTTCTGAGTGTTATGCACAGGAAGAACTTCAGAGAATGACGGTGTGGAAGTAACCTGCCGTATATCATTGGCAAGAACACAAAACCCTTCCTTTACCTCAGAAGCCTCATTACAAGCCAAATAATTTCTCTCAAGATGGACAAGTAGATCTTATTCCCCTTCCTGCTTTGCTTGCTTAACAATATTACAAATACGTCTCCTGTCTCTGTGAGCAGTAGCTCCAAGAAGACATCTCACAAAGCCACTATTGTTCAACTCTACACCTCTTAAGATAGAATACCGCAACAACAACTGCTTTCTATTAAGCCTCACCTTGTCCTTTTTTTGTCCTGGGGTGCACTCTTGCTCACCTTAGGCATAGAGGATGGTGGTTCCACAAAATCGGTACATGAGCCTTTATTTATTTTGCCAGAGCCTTATTTATTTTGTTCTATTTTCTTTTCTTTCAGTCCAGTGTATCACAGTTTATTGTGTCTTAACCTATTTTATTTTACTTTAAGTTATAACACTTTATATAGTTCATTGTGTGTCAGTCTCGCTGGGGGTGGTTGCCCAATTGGTCTACAAGATAGGTTCCCTTAACATCATGTCATACAATGTCAGAGGCGTTAATTCACTGGAAAAACACACCTGAGGGGAAAAAAATAGCTCATATTTACAACAACAACTTTTCCAGAAGTAAATCACAGGGAGTAGCTATCCTAATAGGGTCTCACATACCCTTCACCTACACAGAGCATCTTACAGACGATTCGAGACCGGTACATTATACTGCTGGGTCTTATAGGTTCTTTCCCGATAACATTTGTCGCACTTTACATGCCAAACAGAAACCAATATGAAACATTTCACATAATGTCCTTAGTACAAAATAATACAGTGGGTACGTTACTCATAAGAGGGGATTTTAATATCTCCCTAGGTGCACTAACTGCCACTAACACTACACATCTAGCAACAGCCAGACACCAAATGAAACACATCAAGGGAGTAGAAACAGCCCAGACATACACATTTTATATATATTTTAGATATATACTTAAGAAATTAATTTTACTTTTTAAATTTAATGTACAGCTACAAGAAGGAACCATTGTAAGATAAAATTTAACCAAAGTCCAGATGCATTAAAATCATACTTTATGGCGCAAAAAGGAGACATTCAGTCTGCTAAAACAGACCAACATCCCTGTGAAGTTGGTAGTTAGTTTGATTGATGTGTCATAGCGATAAGACAACTGTGATGTCAAATACATCATGAAATTAAATTAACCCATTATACAAAGTGGTAGTGGGAATTTGTAAGGATACATTTTTGTGATGCTACAATGCCATCTATTGATCAAAGTCTATAAAACAATCAGTAGAAGGAGGTACACCCATCTAATCCCATTGGTCACTTTAAATTAGTGATGTAAAGAAACTTAAGATAAGGTTTTCTTCAAATTATTAAGAGAGGTGGGGGGTTGGGGCAAAACAATAAGCAAAAAGCAAAGGAGGAAGACCCAGCTAAAAGCAAACTCTGGACACATCTAACACTCTGTATTTTCCAAATGAATTTCTGGGACTTTGAAAACCTAACATTCTATCTTTTCTATCTTAATCGTGGACTTTGTTAAAATTCTTTACTAATCAGATTTTTTTTTATTTTTTTTTTATTCTTTATTTTTGACAGTGCAGTAGTGAGTACATCCTTTGACAATGGTATGGATAAGCATAGGTACATCGGTAATAGACATAAGACAATGTTAGTTAGTATAAAAATTCAAAGCATACTGCACTGTTATTTTTTGTTTAAAGTAGCGTAATAACATATATGAACAGAGCAATCATATATCTCAGCCTGCATGTCCCAACTACATATGGTACTGACGTTTACGTCTGTTATCTGAGCAGGAAGGGGGTCAGTAAGGCACATGTTTGGAACACAAAAGCAGAAAAAAAAAAGATGAGATAACTGTAAATAAACATAGTGGGCAGTCCTATCTAACATTAGAAACATGCGGCCTAGGCAGGTTAGGCTCAACACAGAGCAGGCATAAGGTTCAGGGTCACTAGTGGCTAGCCGATTCCTAAGATGGTATGCTAGGACATACGCCCGGAACCAGGGCCGGACTGGGACCTAAAAATCAGCCCTGGAAAAAAATTCTATACCAGCCCAATAATGCATCGCGCCAGCATAGTGTGCTGATAAAGAGGTTGAAAAAATAACTTGAAATTGAAAACTCTTACTCCAACGAAGGAACTCATATAGGGCTTCAAAATAAACAAAAGAGCGCCTTTATTTTAAGTAGACGTACATTTGCATGTAATCAATGTTTCAGTACAACTACTTTGGCCTATTAAGGACATTTTAGTAATGGGACTGAAATGCTGAATGTCTGCAGTTGCACAACTAAAAAATGAAGTGATCTGGTTTATTTTGAAGTTCTATGGGTGCGCTCTTCACTTTGAATATGTTATTGTGCATGAGTATGCAACTAGCAACAAGACATGGCCAATACATGCTCAATATAAATATATATATATATATATATATATATATATATATATATAGACATATTTAATGACATTTATGTGTGTATTATGCATAAATAAATGTATATTACTATATGTGTAAATATTATAGGCATAATTATATGTTACTAATACACACATCAATATACATGCATATATATGTGTATTACTGTCAGGATCACATCAATTTACGTCTATTACCTTTACCTTGTTTAGTGTATCTTGTCTCCAATTGTCTCCTTTTTTTTTCTCTTACAGCGACCCTTGTGCATCTTTTACTTCATCCCAGTCCCTGTGTGTTTCTTTTTACCCTTCTCCAGCCTCTGTATTTCTCTTTCCCCCAGCCCCTTTTGTGTTGTTCTTAGCCCCAGCCACTTTGTCTCTTTCTCCCCTTCCAAATCTCATCTGTGTGTCTCTTTCTAACTCCAGACTCTGTGTGCCTCTTTCTCTTCTCCCAGTCACTCTCTGTCTCTTTTTCCCCAGCCCAGCGTTGCCTCCCACAAATCTTGTCACTTTGTTCCCCTTCCCTACTGCATGTCTCTCTGTCCCCCCAACAAACCTTCCGTGTGTCTCTCTTCCCCAACTCCTCCCTGTGTCTCTCTTCCCCATCTCCTTCCTGTGTCTCTCTCTTACCCCTCTGTCTCTGTGTCCCCCTTCTCCTGTGTCTCTCTATTACCCCTCTCTTTGTCCCCCCAACCTCCTATTACCCCTCTGTCTCTTTGTCCCCCCCTTCCCTGGTGTCTCTCTATTACCCCTCTATTTGTCCCCCCATTCCCCTCTATTTGTCTCCCTCCCTTCCCCTCTATTTGTCTCCCCCTTCCCTATTTCATTCTCTATTTGTCCTCTATTCTCTATTTCTATTTCCCTTCTATTTGTCTCTTCTATTTGTCTTATATCTCTATTTGCTATTTGTCCCTTTCCCCTATTTGTCTCTCTCATTCTCTTTTGTCTCCCTCCTTCCCCTCTATTTGTCTCCCCCCCTTTCCCTCTATTTGTCTCCCCCCTTTCCCCTTCTGTGTGCCTGCTTACCTTGTCACAGGAGGTCTGAGGGAGGGGGCGGAGCTAGCTACCATGCTCCCTCGCGGTTCCCATAATTCCCAGCATCTACACATCATAGAGTAATCCCTACTCTATGATGTGTAGATGCTGGGAATTATGGGAACCGCGAGGGAGCATGGTAGCTAGCTCCACCCCCTCCCTCAGTCCTCCTGTGCTGACAGCTGCGCGGCTGTCAGTATCAGTGAGTGTGTCGCCGGATTGCTTAGGCGGCCGCCCGGCACACTCACTGATACTAACAGCTGTCAGCACAGGAGATGGGGCCGACGGCTGCAAGGTGAGTAATCACCTCAGAGTGTGCCGCCGGACCGGCCATCCGGCGGCACCGACATGTGGCCGGCGGCCGCGATATTATTAAAATATTAGGGCGCAGGGCTCCCTCTCTCTCTCGGTATATTTCCCGGTATCCCGGTGGGCCAGTCCGGCCCTGCCCAGAACTTGCTGAGGTAATAGGCCCATTCGGATTAAGTTGACAGGGTGCTTAAAATATATGTATATTTGTCTAGCTTCAATTTTTGTGAAGCCAGACACATATAGAGCATTGCGAATTGCGCCTAGGGTGTAAAGCAGGCTAGCTGTTTAAATGTATGCGCATTTAAAACAAGAAAAAAAGGAAACAACAAGCACATTTTTACATTAGAGACATCAGGCTTGAACAAGGTAGTAGTCAGTGAAACGGTAGCACTGCAATTGGTAAAACATAGGTTGTGCTGGCTGACTAGGTGAGTGAGAAGTATAAGAATAAACTAGTGCTTTACACATGTGACCTATTAGTCAATCGAGAGTCATAACAGTTGACTGCCTAAACATATCATGTGTTAGCCAATATGTATGTGGCCACCACATTCCTGCCAAACACTGCGAGCCCTAGAAACACCACATGTGCAACACAAAATACAACGAATTTTCAGCGTAGGCTGCTGTAAGGGTAGCAGTTAAATGCAAGGCGTTATACATAAGTATGTCATACATATTAGCTAAATGCAACCACTAGATGATACCACATTGCCATGTGGTAAGTGTGTCCACGGGTGGAAGTCCAGTGAGGGGAGTTCATGCAAGCCAATTGGGCCAGGTCCCCCCAAGTCCTTGGTAGTGAGTGTTACAAATCGGGCTGCCAGTCCAAGAGGCTGGTTTAGCCTATGCCGCTGCTAAGTAGTGCCATAGCGCGATCCAGTAGGATGGAATAGACGGCACCATCGTCTTGGTTAATCCTCAAGAGTGCAGCATGGTGCGGGTTGATGGTGGCCACCTTCTGGCCCCAGGTCTCCACAAAGGCCTGCACCTGTAATCTACCGACTCGGTTGTCCATAGTGCCATGCAAGGCCTGGGTGTTAAGTCGCCACCAGTGGCGGGCAAGCCTCCGGTGATGTGGTCGGTGCCTCGGAGTTTGACTCTCTGCGGCCTTCAACCTGGCATTGTGGGTGGCCCACGGTAGTTGCCTCCGATAAATGGCGGAAGCGTTGGGTGGTTTGTCGTGGCAGTTTAGTACCGCATCCCTGCCGCCGAGGGTGCAGCCTTGGGCCCTTAGGTGGGTCTCTGGATCCGGCTGGGTGTTTGTGAACCGGGCTTCGTTGTCTGGTCCAAGGTTGGGGTGCCGCCTTATTCAGGCTTGTTTTATCCCTCTGATATGCTGGGACTCGTTTTGTCATAGGTCGCTTGTTTCTTCGTCGTGAGTTGGGCAGGCACTCATGTGGGAAGCTGGCTTTTACATGTGTTTGGGCCAGACGGTTCATCAGTACCTCCAGTTTGCGCCATAGTTCGTGAAAGAGTCTCTCCAGCCTGGCCTCGTATCCCAGTTCAGCCGCTGTTTCGCCGAGTGTCCACGTTGCTTGCACTGCCCCCTTAGTCATTCGGTTCTGGTAATTGCCTGTGTGTGGATCGTGACCAGCCTCATGTTGTGTGCGATGGACCGTGATAGCCCCCCCGGTCCAGTGGGGGGGGGGTGCGGGGCCCCGTGTGGTCCTGTCAGCAGGGGAGACAAGGGACGGAAGGTCGGCCGCCTCCTCCGCCGGTCCACGTTGGAACACTCCAGCCGTCATCTAAGGTCGGTAAGCCCATAGTTGGGTCAGTTTGTGTGCGGCAGGAGTCCCAGTGAGTCGCTTGAGAGAGTAGGTAAGTAGGGAGCTCCTGCAGAGTGCGAACGTCCGCCATGCCAGTCAGGCCCCGTCCCCCTAATCACATTTATTTCAAATACTCAATCTCCATTTAAACACACTCTTGCATTCACCATTCACGGATTATAGCTCCAAGCCTAAAGAATTTCTACCGAGACGTGATAAACATGCTGGTTTAATTTAATCTAATTTACATTAATACATTTTTATAAAAGAAGAAATATACCTGGATAAAGCGGATCGGATTTCAAACCTTTGAAATCATATTTAGCTGAGGAAATATACAGTTCCACATCCCATACATGCAGGTGGAATAAATGAAAAGTATGTTTACTGGTAATTTGCCAAATTTAGCATTTAGAAAGGATCTATACTTTTAAGCTGGCACTTCGGATGCAGCCGAAGTACCGAAGTAGTCGAAGTGGGCGCCATTCGACAAACGAAAACATGGCAGCAGCCATTTTAATCCAGCCGAACGAAGTCAGCTGTGTTTTGCCGTCGAGTTCATAGAACTAAAATCGGATACTGGACGACACGAACACCGCTGAAGATTTACCTTCTTTGGAACTTTCCCATTCGAATGGAGTCAAACAGCGTTCAACAATTCTAACGCCGCATTAACAGTGGTATTTGCACAAATGGCACCTGTTCATGCATTCAAATGACATTTGCATTGGGATGAATAGACCGGCTGCACAGTCCAAATCTATGGAACTGTTTTGGGCATGAAAATGTGCGTGCGGTTGGTCAAAATAGGACTTCCAGCTAACTCCCGAATTGCTGAAGGGATTTCAATGATTTTTGGTTGTTTCTTCCCTATGAATGCTGATTCAGAAAATTTAGGTTGTATGCAAATGTGATGTATAGTTTTAAAGTTAGAGAAATTGGGTAAAAATGTGTGTTTAAACTGTACGGCTAATTATGTTATCTCTCAGGCTAAGGGGAGAGGATGTGTGGGTTGTAACCAGTTGGTGATTGGATAATTCCTAATTGTCTGTGGGTGTCTCCCTTGCATGGGAGAATTGCATAAAAGCAGAGTATGTGTCATTAAACCTCAGTTCTACTTCACCCTCAATTTAGAGTCCAGTCTCTTATTGGGGGAATCTGCATATTCACTTGCATAATCACGCAGCTTGTGTAGGAGCTTGTTCCTTCACTCTCTGGGGAAAGAGAGGTTCACCCACTGGAACCTGGAGCCTTGTCGTGGGTCCAGGGTGAATAGGAGACGGCGAGACCCCAACCAAGCTACGGCGGTTCGTGGGGTCTGCAGTACTTACGGGGTCAAGTGGAGTGCTTGGCGCCCTCGAGCAGCACTAGAAGCATCCTTCAACGGAGGTACCCAGTCAGGGTGCCAGGTGATCTGTTATAGCTTGTATAGCATGTATAGCTTGGAGGAAAGATGAGACAGGGGGGATATGATAGAAACATTTAAATACATAAAGGGAATCAACACAGTAAAGGAGACTATATTTAAAAGAAGAAGAACTGCCACAGCAAGCAGACATAGTCTTAAATTAGAGGACCAAAGGTTTAAAAATAATTTCAGGAAGTATTACTTTACTGAGAGGGTAGTGGATGCATGGAATAGCCTTCCAGCTGAAGTGGTAGAGGTTAACACAGTGAGGGAGTTTAAAGGACCACTATAGTGCCAGGAAAACATACTAGTTTTCCTGGCACTATAGTGCCCTGAGGGTGCCCCCACCCTCAGGGACACCCTCCCTCCGGGCTCTGGGGAGGGGAAGGGGTAAACTTGCCTCTTTCTCCAGCGCCGGGCAGGGAGCTCTCCTCCTCCTCTTCGGCTGAATGTGCATGCGCGGCAGGAGCCGCACGTGCATTCAGCCATTCCATAGCAAAGTATTCACAATGATTTTCACAGTGAGAAGCACGCAAGTGCCTCTAGCGGCTGTCAAGAGACAGCCACTGGAGGCTGGATTAACACATTTATAAACATAGCAGTTTCTCTGAAACTGCTATGTTTATAAAAAAAAGGGTTAACCCTAGCTGGACCTGGCACCCAGACCACTTCATTAAGCTGAAGTGGTCTGGGTGCCTATAGTGGCAAAAGTATTTTGAAATATTGGGCACACTAGATGGGCCGAATGGTTCTTATCTGCCGTCACATTCTATGTTTCTATGGAAAAGGCAGAAATTTTAAATAACTATTTTTCTTCAGTATATATTAATGAGGATCCTATGGAAAGAGATATGCAAATTATTGCTGGAAAAAACTTGCAGGTAACTTATGATTGGATAACTCGAGACGAGTTGCTACAGCAGTTAAAGAAAATTAATGTAAATAAAGCTCCTGGCCGGACAGTATTCTTAAGGAGCTAAGTGGGGAAATA